CGATAAAGCACGGCTACAACAAGACTTTAAACAGTGATTGACCAATGCACCCTCAACATGAAAGAGCTTCATATACTGTTTTTAATTTGAGAATAAGGCAGGCATCACTATATTTTATTTCAATCTACTGTGGTGTAAACTATGGCGTTCATGAATGCCAACGTTGTTTCTATAATATACACGATATATAAAAACTGTTGGACGTTGTTACAGCATTACATCATGTCCTCGTCCGATGATTAAAGTTATGTGCAGACGTAATTTTTTACAGATCAGAAAATACGTGTAATGGGCATGTGATTACAGTGACAAACAATTGGATGCTTTGAAAATGGTAATACAATTCAGTTGTAGTTTTTCTGGTAGTGTTTAACACTTATTTAACACAGTTATTACCTTCAAATATTGAGCGACACAAAGGCACGGAGTGAACCTCAATATATGAACGCTGTGCGACAAGGGTGCATTATCCGACTTTCTATACGTCAACAACACCTGGAGTTTGCCCTGACCAATCACGTTTAAGTGATTCTGTTTGTACAAATGTGTACAAGAGTTTATATCCCTTAAATTACTGATTAGCATTCCAGATGTCGATATCTATGCGATATTCACCCTCAATTTTCTTCCAAATTATCACATATTTTCCTGCCTCGCGAACGCTTCCATCTTCATTGAAGAACTTGTAGTGACCTCGTTCGTACAAGCAGTCGTCGCCGTGAACCTGCCCAGCTTCGTCGGTGTCGAGGGTCGACCATTTGGCGCCTGCGTTGAAAAAATCTCTGAATGATTTCTCAACGGCTGTGAACAGAAAAAAAAGTTTTATTCGTAAGCAGCAGGGTTTTGAAATAAAATAGGCATTGTTCAAGTTCTTTGATGCGTAAGTGTTTTAGTTTTAGTTTGTAAGCTTGCATGTATTGTATTTGATTTTTTTTAAGTGCTTGTATTTCGTCATCAATGTTCATGCATATACCCTAGGGTATATGGTTCAACGAAACATTTTAATTCACCAAGGGAATTGTAAGCAGTTCAATAAAGAACGGTGTACTAGTAACCTCGACACCCTGGTCACAAATGCTCAGGCATCGGTTTGGGTCAGTACTCTATAGATACCCGCCTACTTTGAGAATTCATTATACTTTATAATACATTTTGTTATTGACTCCGCACTATTGGTACAACAGTACAAAACATTAAAATAAGAGGTTGGTAA